AGATGTGCAGGGAGTGCTCAGGTGTGCAGGGGGAGCCCAGATGTGCAGGGTGAGTCCAGGGGAAGCCCAGATGTGCAGGGAGTGCTCAGGTGTGCGGGGAGAGCCCAGATGTGCAGGGATTGCTCAGGTGTGCAGGGATTGTTCAGGTGTGCAGGGAGTGCTCAGGTTTTCAGGGAGAGCCCAGATGTGCAGGGTGAGTCCGGGCAAGGCCCAGATATGCAGGGAGAGCCCAGGTGTGCAGGAGCACCCAGATGTGCACGCTGAACCCAGGTGTGCAGGGTGGTCTCAGGTCTGTAGACAGTTCTCAGATGGTCAGGGTGGGTGCCAGCTGTGCAGCCCAGATGCTCAGGGTGGGCCTCAGGTGTGCAGATGACGCAGGTGTGCAGGGGTGAATCCAGATGTGCAGGGTGGTGCCAGGTGTTCGGGCTTGGTGCCAGATATTCCAGGTGGGCCTCAGGTGTGCAGATGGCCCCAGGTGTTCAGGGCAGTCCCAGATGTGCAGCCCAGGTGGTCAAAGTGGGTGCCAGATGTGTGCCCAGATGTTCAGGGTGGCCCCAGCTGTGCAGCACAGGTGTTCACAGTGGGTGCCAGGTGTGCAGGGTGGGTGTTCCGGGTGGGCCCCAGATGTGCGGGGCTGTCCCAGATGTGCAGGGTGGGCTCCAGGTGTTCAGAGCAGGTCCAGGTGTGCAGTACAGATGTGCAGGACAGCCCCAGCTGTTCAGGGTGGGCCCCAGGTGTGCAGGGTGGGTGTTCAGAGTGCACTCCAGGTGTGCACGGCTGTCCCAGATGTGCAGCCCAGGTGTTCAGGGCAGCCCCAGGTGTAGAGCCTGGGTGTTCAGGGTGGGTTCCAGGTGTTCAGAGTGGGCTCCAGATGTGCACCCCAGGTGTGCAGATGGCCCCAGGTGTGCAGCCCAGATGTTCAGGGCAGCCCCAGGTGTTCAGGGCAGCCCCAGATGTGCAGCCCAGATGTGCAGGGCAGCCCCCGGTGTGCAGGGCAGCCCCAGATGTGCAGCCCCAGATGTGCAGCCCAGCCGTTCAGGGCAGCCCCAGCTGTGCAGGGCAGCCCCAGATGTGCAGCCCAGGTGTTCAGGGCAGTCCCAGATGTTCAGGGCAGCTCCAGCTGTGCCGTCCCGCGCAGGGCTCGGCCATGGACCGGATGAAGAAGATCAAGCGGCAGCTGTCGATGACGCTGCGGGGGGGCCGCGCCCCCGACAAGGGCCTGGGGGACCCTCGCGACGGCCACGGCAGCGACAGCGGTGAGCGCGGGCCCTTTAAGGGAGGGGGGGGAGGGTGCGAGAGGGTGCCTGGCCCTTTAAGAGCGTGCCTGGCCCTTTAAGAAGGCGTCTGGCCCTTTAAGGGGGTGCCTGGCCTTTTAAGAGCCTTGGGGCTGGGGGATGGGAGGGGGATTGAAAGGGTGCCTGGCCCTTTAAGGGGGTTCCTGGCCCTTTAAGAGGGCTCCTTGTCTTTTAAGGGTGTGCCTGGCCCTTTAAGCAGGCGCCTGGCCCTTTAAGGGTTGCCTGACCCTTTAAGGGGATGCATGGCCCTTTAAGGGGGCGCCTGTCCCTTTAAGAGGGTGCCTGGCCTGTTAAGGAGGTGTCTGGCCCTTTAAGGGGGTGCCTGGCCCTTTAAGAGCCTTGGGGCTCGGGGATGGGAGGGGTATTGAAAGGGTGCCTGGCCCTTTAAGGGGATGCATCGCCCTTTAAGAGAGTGCCTGGCCCTTTAAGAGGGTACCTGGCCCTTTAAGAAGGCGCCTGGCCCTTTAAAAGGGTGCCTGGCCCTTTAAGAGGGCTCCTGGTCTTTTAAGGGGGTGCCTGGCCCTTTAAGGGGTGCCTGGCCCTTTAAGGGGATACCTGGCCCTTTAAGAGGGTGCCTGGCCCTTTAAGAGCTTTGGGGGTGGGGGCAGGAGGGAGATTGAGAGGGTGCCTGGCCCCTTAAGAGGGCGCCTGTCCCTTTAAGAAGGCGGGCAGAGCCGTTGGGGTGCCTGTCCCTTTAAGACGCTCCCCCGGCAGGGACGCGGCCCCTTTAAGAGCCCCGGGGGTGTCTGTGCTGTCCCCTCCATGTCCCCTCCGGTGTCCCCCGGGTCCCCCCTCCCCATTGCCATCTGTCCCCGTGTCCCCCCCGTGTGTGTCCATCTGTCCCCAGATCCTGTCCCCTGTGTCCATCTGTCCCCAAATCCTGTCCCCTGTCACCTCCCCCGGTGTCACCACCTGTCCCCCCCCCCGCCCCATGTCCCTGGGTCACCCCATCCTGCAGGAACCGGGCATCCCCGTTTGGGCATTTTTGGGGCTATTTT